TATCTCTTACTTGTTTGCTTTGCATGGTATTCAAAATTTATGTTGATAAGCCATTCCATAGTATTGGCTATCAAAGAGTGTAAACACAGCACTTGCAAAGCTCAGAACACAGATGAAAGTCTGCTTTTCTCGCCCTCTGTTGATAAAGTACTTCGGCGACTCTCTCTCTCTAACCTTTTCAACAAGCCACAGCAACAACTCGTCCGAATAGTTGTCGAACGCGTTTTTGCATTATTTTACCGTCCAGCCGCTACATTAAGCTGCATTTTCTCAGTTTAGTCGCAGGTGGCAATCATTATGACTTGTCTGGCTTGGTCCACGTGAGACACGGGCGAGGCTAAGAAACACAATTGGCTCCTAAGCTTCCTTTCTCGGCTGTGAACAGATCCCTGTGGACAAATTGATTATATAGGGGTCTCTAATAGTAATACCAATTTCAATGAAGCATTCATATGTTACCGTGCAACAAGTACAACACAGCAAGTGTAGTCTACAAGCACAACGCATCATGGTGCTACAGAATTTCAGTCTCCTAGACTTCTCAAGTTCTGCTTTCAGTTCGCTCGAGCCCACAGCTATAAACAAACAAAAAAATAGAATTGATGCACGCGGCAAATGGTGACATTTTGATCTAGTCTAGTGCCACATCCATCTGAACAGTTTCTTTAGATCAACGTTATCGGGTTCGGGCGTTTTGGGGTAAATATCAGGCTTGTTGGTATACCATGCATCGCATCAATTGTGTGAGTGCTGCAGTGGCTCGGTGGGAGACCCTTAATTTGTTACATAACTGTAACAAATCGCAGACAGTTGCGTACTTTTCGCATCCAGGCCCTGAGTCGCACGGCCCATTTTTGGTTAGCTCCAACTGGCCACATGTAGTTACACTCGCATTTCACTAAGTCAAAAATAAAGTACTTTTCCTTAGAAAATACATGTTCCCCTCCCCTAATCCCAACTAACACCCAACTTAACACCCAAACCTAACAGCCCAAACTTACCCTAAACCTAATTAGGGTGGCTCTGCCCCCCCCCAAGCCCCCCTCCTAACTTCTCACTCTGTTTATGATAAGGGCCACCATCTGCAAGAATTATGTAAGTGGTTGGTCAGGGTCGTCCCTAATTGGGCCGTGGGATTCAGGGCCTGGATGCGAAAAGTTAAGAGTCATCACAGACCTCAATTGTGATCTGACGTTGAACAAGTCCACCGTACCTTTCATTCTAGACACACCTTGCTTCACTCTGCTGCCTCTCATGACTTCAACGACTAAAGCCGACGATTTTGTCTCTCAAGCCACAGGAGCTTCGGACAAGACAGCTACCTTGAGGTAACTCCTTAATTTCATCTGCATTCTGATTTGTAGATTCAAAAGATGCACCAGGATATCGCTTCCAATGACTGAATCTAAGAAGAATCATAGGCCTAGGCGAACTTGGGTGTACGGTTTCTGGATGAAGCTTAAATATTATCGACAGCAGGCCGAGAAGTACAATCTTGATTGGCAGAATCATCCCCTGGGCGTGTCTTTCTCCGTACTTCACAACCTAATAGCTGCAACGCGTGTCCATTTCTCTGGCCGTAGCGTGAGCTATCGTGGTAAAATGGCTATGATACTAGTATTCGCTGAGGACGACGACAGACGAAGGATAAAGAAGAAGGAATTTTCGACGAAGCAAATAGATAGGATTCGAAAGGAGCTTGGGCTTCCGAAGGGGACCAAGCCACGGTGGTACGAAATCAAGGGAGAGGAATACGACACAAATGTAGGACTTGAGAGCGAGGATGAGGAATTCCCCGATGGCCCCTATGAAAATCCGTACTTGACTTCGGAAGACTCGTATCAGACCCTTGATGATGAACTGGACATGATACATGGGACAGATACTGTACACGATGGCTGTGAAGTGCTTAAATAGCTGATTTTTCGTTTAAACTTTGTGTATATTCACCTGAAGACCAACAGCCATGATAACGTTCGGATGCCATTTCTTAGTCTTGAACAGCCCAAAGGGTCAGTAAGCTGTACAAGATCGTCAAATATGGCCTTCAATTCGATAATATTTTAGATCAAATTAGGCGATAAACCAAGCATTACGCACCTTAAGCTTCTGGACGACACTCTTCTGAACTCGCTCCTTCCCTCTATTGCCACCAATCTCGAATTGTGTGCTTTCATAAGTTCCATCCAGAGTTGCGATACGAGTTTCACATCGACGTCAGACCCGAGCAGGGTGGTGCACGCTTCCCGGTAAAGTGCATGTATGACCTGCAAATAAATTATTCCACGTCAGCCTTACAATAACAGATAAAACAATTCATTCAGAAATGGGCCAATTTACCTTGTCAAAACTACAGGCGCAATTATGAGCAATTAGAACGTCGCGTTTATTTTCCTTCCTGAGCCAGGACCATGTTACTGACTGATAATTTGATGTCAGTAGGCCAGTAAGCGACAAGTGCTATAGGCGTGGGAGTTATTCCATTAGGTAAAACGCTGTGTTTCTTGGTAAATCAATCTCCTGGGTTTTGTTTCTTCCAATATCCATCATATGACATACTGTCGCGGCGCCCCTTGCGGTCAAGACCCACATGTGGACACTTTTAATATTTCTCCCTCAATTCTTGCTCAAACTTCATAAAATTTTGTATTTATGTAGCTTAACATCTAATAAATATATATTCAAATTTTGAGTCAATATAATGAGCACAGAACAAGTTATTGTACTTACAATCTGAAGAGTACAAGAAATTGAGCTCTTGGAGTGAACCAAACTCTTTCCCACACAATGAATACTTTATAGTAATTCAAATAGTAAATATTTTGAGCTATAATTCTGTAAATTTGTGTAATAGTATATTTTTTATCAGTATGTTTTTTTGTAGAAGTTTCTGCAGAGTTTTAAGTAAGTTACAAGGAATATTGCTAATAATATAATTTTGATAAACTAGAAATACAAATTCACTAATCTCAAACTTCATAATTTTTTATACACAATTCTACTTTGATAATCTATAAAATAAAGTTATTATTTATATTTATATAAGTTGGAAGTATATATGTACCAAATATCATAGCTTAAAATTAAAAATGTAAATTGTACTAGGTTATTGTTTCTACAACTGTAAAAATTATAGTTATTACAAGTATTAGTAGTAAGAATAATGTTATTAATTTTTTTAAATGTGTAAGTCCTTCAGAATAAACAGCATCAAGTGTATTAGAGTAGTATAGCTTTGATAACTAAAGGAGAAAGAATATAAGCTTGAAATAAAGGAGGAAGAAATTAATTAGTATTTATATAAAATAAGTAGAATATGTATTACTTTATAAGAGGAGAGA